TTATTTAACCTTTATTTATCCAGGTAAACTGATTGAGAATTAGGGATGCACGATTTATCTGCATTAACATCGGTATCGGCCGATATTAGTCGCTTTTTYTCAGTCCAATAAGTAAAATCAGGTCGATACTACCATCCAATATTGATTTCTCACGTTTWWGCTTTGTTTTTCTGTTCTGGGAGGGGAGATGGTTGGTTGAGTGGTATCTATTTGATCATGATGATAGTGACGCTGTGCAGCCAGGAATAACTGAAGTAGAGCCATGTCAGCAGTGTGGTCATTTTTTACGATATTGAAAAGAAACACAAGTGTATTTGTGCGTGTATGTATAGAAATAATTTGTGTGTTTGTGTAATATCTGTCATGATTCTTGTTTTATGGTTCTTTTTGTTAGAATTTTTCAGACTGTTTCATTTTTTGGTCCTCTTGTTTTATTTTCTCATTTCCTGTTAGTTTTTTTCTGTTTCCTGTGGCATGTTCTCCTCAGTCAGCTTCTTATTGTTTTTCCAGGCTGCCACTCACACCTGTCCATAGTGTGTAATCACCCAGCTGCTTCCATTCCCCAATCATCCTCTGTTATATTTAACTGGTCTCTTGTCTCCATGCACCAGTGGATCATTGCCTTACTTCATGCTCCAAGCCTTCATGTTTCCCCTCATTGTTATTTTTGTTTGTTCCCACTTTAGCCTTTTTTCTTTCATTATTTAATAAATTAGTTTTTGGGGGTTTCACCTTCAAGCCATCGTGTCCGCCTGCATTTTGGGTTCCACCATGCCACAAATCCTTGACGATATCGGTAAATATCGGTTATCGGCCATAACACCAATAATATCGGATATCGGCAGAAATTTTCATATCGGTGCATCCCTGTTATGAACTTTAAATGATGGGAAATTCTGAACTTCCCAGTTTTCTGTTGCAGAAAATTATTCTGAATTTATTCCACTACTTTTTAGATGCAGTTTCTTTTTGAGACTGATGAATGTCTGCCCATCTTTACTTCTGAGAGCTTCAGCCTTTTTTTGAGATGTGTTGCTACTGGTTAGGTTAGGGTTAGGGATTAGTGATTTTTAAAGGGGCAATAATCATGTAAAATCACCTTTTTTGAGTTTTATATCATGTTAAAATGTTATACTCTCATAAAAAACATGCCCAAAGCCTTGCTCTGACTCATTTATGCATGTTTGAGAAATCCTGCAGCGTTTTTAGGAAGCCATGCTGAGGAGCAAAACGACAGGTGGGGACCAGAAACGCCCCTGGGATGTGTCTTTAAGATGAACTTCCTCATCACGGAGCACACCTCCCCACCCCCCACTCCCCGCCCATGACTCCTGCAGGCTCTCGCCAGTAACAGAGCAAAGTGAATGTGAAACTTAAACTGTCTGCTGCTCTTAACACTACTGCTCGCTCAGTGAAGCTTTTTTCAGATTCAAAATACCTTTGAGGAAATGTATTTTCAGATGACAAGTAAACTGCATCATAGCGCACACGCAAAACACCCCCCCCCACCCCCCTGCGCTTATAGGACGGAATGGGAAGGAGGTTCTTAAAGAGACAGAGGCCAATTTCAAGGCGTTTATAAAAGGAAGTGATGAGAAGATAAGTTTATTTTCTATTTAAACATAAAAACAGCATTTTAATAACAACTAAAGGTGACATAGATACTTTATTATAGTATAGTATTTAAATATATGCCTGAGAAACACATAATATTGCCCCTTTAAATAATTTTCTTTGAAAAAATTAAGTTACAACTCCTTAGATTCAATAGTATGAAATGATATGAAATTACATCCCATTTTGAATAAAATAAGGGTTTATGAAATTTGCAAACCTTGCATTCTGTTTTCATTCCCATTTTCTACGAAGTCTGAACATTTTTGGAATTGGGGTTTGGATAAAATGTGGTTTCAAACAAGAACAGTTAGGGACAGGACAGTGAAGCTCCACCCTGTGCGGTGCTGCTGCYGCGGCCCACCGTAGGCTCGGCGACTGCATTTTCACTGCAGCTCTAACTGCAGTGGCCTTTCATAGTGGTGACAAATGGAGAGCGTTTAGCCCTYACGACACAGAGGGTCTCCAGTCCTCTGGTCCGATGGACCTCAGGCTGTAAGGCTGTTTTTGTCTGTTTCTGTGGCCGGGGTGAGGGCCACGAAGACTGATGATGCATGTTTTGTTACTCTGTGTGCGGTCAGTCGTGTGAGGACAAGAAGAAGCTCTTACCGGCTTTCCTCCAGATCTCTTCAGGCAGGTATCCTGAGGGAGGCCGATGTAGGAAGTCTCTGTGGATCTCTGAAACACAAACACAGGCACACGTTCAGCTACGCAGAAACACAGCTCCAAGATGAAACATCCATCTAAATCTAGTTTCCAGTTCTATTTTTGGGACAGCTTATGTCTGGCAACATCGACTGATAGGCATTTTTTTTTTCAGCCTTTACACAGAAGTAATGAGTAGTTTGAAATGGATCCAAATTTTAGCAATGAATGAGGAAGCTGTCGACATAAGAGTGCAATCAGGTGGTTAAAATCCAAGATGTTGCAGGTGGATTTGTATTGCTGCACAGCYTGAGCTCAAACGTGTGGAAAAATATGATCAACTGACGTTTTGTGTCTAAATTAAGGCATTCTCAGCATTCCTAACGAGCCCTACCTTGCTGTGAGTGTTTGCTTTGCCAAACATACCCCCTGAGTGTGTTTGTCTACCTGTCTGTCTGCCTGTCTGCCTTTCAGCAGCCGAGGAAGTTCCTATGGGCAGTGACTCGCTGCTGCTGCTAGCTGTGTTGGAGGAGGAGTTGTGGTGAGGAGGAGGAGGAGGAAGAGTAGTAGTAGATGGAGGAAGGCAGTGCTGTCCGTTGCTCCCACCTTTTTTCATCTCCTCTACGTCACTGTAGCGGCGGATCCAGTGATTCATCTCCTCCCGGTCGGCTTCCTGGCAGCGTCGCAGCACCGTCAGGGAGCGCCGCGTCTTCTCCACCATGTCCATGATGCAGTTTAGGAGCTGTGAGGGCAAACAGTTAGGAATGTGGTCACTTAAAGAGAAAAAGGTTTGGTGCTTGAATTAAACTGCAAAACAAGGTGAAGATCACCARTAAAGCCCCATTCTGACGGGATTAGGTATACCTATAGGGGCCACATGCTATTTGTAATATTTGCAGAGGTTGTTGTTAAACCAGTGCGAATCAGCCATGTCAGGAATTTGTGAAGTAAAAATTCCCCCACAAATTACTATATTTTGTCCTGTGATAATACTAATTTAATGTGAATAGGCATTTCAGTGATTTGAACAGGAATGGGCTGAATCTGATATGTTACCTGAGAAATTGCATTTCCTGCAAAAATACTAATGCGAATGCTTCTTGCTGAAAACTTAAGCTCAAAGGTGCTGAAATTAAGATGAAAATATTTAATGGCAATAGTGTTGTGAGTTCATTTTAAAAAGCTGAAAGAGGGGAAAAACAACTTTGCAGAAAAATTAGCAAAAATATAGCTGAAATAGTAGAAAAAAGCTAAAATAGCTGTAAATGGAGAAAGCAACTGTAAGAAACAAATAGCTCAAATTAGCAGAAAGAAGCAAGAAAAGCAGAAATTAGCAGAATAGCAGAAAAAAGCAGAATTGTAGCAGACATAACAGAAAAAGCAAAAACTAGCAAAAAATAAAATAAAGTAAAAAGTAGCTAGAATTAGCACATGGTACCTAAAATGAGCAGAACCAGAACAAAATGTGTAAGGTTCTGTAAAGTTTTAGAAACATTTTAAAGGATTTTAAGCATGTTGAAAACAGATCCATTCCTTTTCAATGGCAAAAAAAGTGGCTAAAAAAGTGAAATAGCTGAAAAAGTAAAAATAGCTGAAATACCAAAAGTCATAGCAGAATTGTCATAAATAAGCTGAACGTTTTGATATATGAATTGTTGAAATAGCACAAAAATTGTGGAACGAGTCAGATGCCGAAAAACGTACGGAAGAAAAAATGATCTCAAGAGTGTGAATGCTGTGAAGCTGTGAAGCATTCACTCAACAGTTAGGCAGTTTTTGTTTCCTGTGCACATTTTTATTTGCTTTTGGTGAAAAACAGAAGCAGGATTGGAGTGACTGGGTCGTCAAAACCCTACCGACCCGTAACGTGCGGCATCAAAAAGAAAAGGTTAAAGAGAAGGAGCAAAATTAGATGCAAATGGTGGCTCACATCATGCATTGCACTGTGGTAAAAAAATGTTTTTTTTTCTTTTTGTAGCCTTCTAGCTGACGCTGGCAGTAACACAGCGCCGAGCTGTAGTCATGCTTTGGGTACTCGCATAGGGCGGTGTTTATACATCGTGCTTATGTTGTAGTAATATTCTCCAAAAGGACATGTGGCAGAACACTATAACTTGTGAAATGTTGTAAATAGGAGAGAAAAGCTTGACAAACAAACTGTTTGAATGATGCGTGCAGCCTTTGCAGAGTTAAATTCAGAGGGGTCCACGACCTGGGCAGGACCACGCCCCGGGACACAGCAGGGGTACGGGGCCGGTGCGTTTGCACCGTGTTCAATGCATCAACTAACCACGCATCAGCATCATATCTGGGAGATGTCTGTAAATTTCAGCAAAATCTCAGGCTTTGATTATCCCGTGCGAATAGGGTTTTAGACACCAAATCATAGCCACGTTTGTGTTTTTAAGGTAGCTCAGCTGTTTCCAAGGATTTCTTTCTGAGGGTTTCATTAAAATATAATGGTTCATGAGGTTCTTTTTTTTTTTTTTTTTGCTAAAACAAAGGACAACCAAACACACTGCAATAACTTCCACAGTAAAAAAAAACCCTGATGCCCAAAGTTTTGGCATCACAACCCTTTCAAACAACAGACTGGAACCACTAAGCATGCTAATGTAATTCCTCCGTGAACACATCCCATCTACTGCAGCCGGCAGACAGCATCCAGGTGACTTTATGGGCTCGTCTCTTCCTGTCTGCGAATTGTGCGCCTGTCAGTGAATTTCACCATCTAAGAGTGTCTCAACAATGATAATGTAACAGCTGTGCTGTTGATGCAAAGGTTGAGTCGATTTCTTCCACCCCTCTGCTCCATTCGCTGCCAGCTCAACAGATTTCCTGTCTTCTTATTCCCCCGTTTATAAACTGTTACTTTTTTCCCCCCACAGTGCCCTGTCTTTTAAAACCCGGCAAGGTCTGCTAAATGGCTTTAGCATCGTTGACATTCAATCCATATCGTTCTTCCCATTCATCTCTCAGCCACTCCTTTCCTCCGTCTCTCCTCTCCGACCTCCCTCCTCTCCGAGTTAGCCGTATTTATTTCAGTGAAGTGTTTCTGATTTGGCAGGAGTCCAGGCCTGGCCGGTTCTCTCCACGACTGCAGCTCTTGTCTCAGCTGCTCTGCCCAGCTGGAGCTGCTCTCTGCTGGGTCCTGAGCTCCATCTGGGGCCCTGTTTCTCTCTGTGTGTGTGTCTGTGTGTGTGTGTGTGTGTCTGACACACATGATTTTCTGTTCACAGAGTTAGGTGCTAGGAATCCAGATAGGTGTCTGTCAGTTGTTAATTCACAACACAGACTCAGACCTCCCGAGGTCAGCTGTCCGTCAACTGCTAACTCAGCTGGGACAGAAGCTGTTGTGTCTGTCAGCGGTTCCTGTTACTGTCATCTGCTCCCCATCTTCAGCTCTGAAACGAACTTTATTAAACTGCTGACCTCCTTGTTCCCTTTCCCCACTGCTTTATTGTTAATAAAAACAAAGAGTCAGTTGGCAGCGAGCGCGCTCATACATACATTATCAAGATGTTTCCATTCTTCTGCCCACTCTCGATCTGTAAGACGATGATCAATCACCTCCTCTTGGCGAGCTCCGTGCACTGCTGCAATAAAAACCCACAGGACATCTCTGTTAAGACTCTTATGTGGAACACTTTGAATTATACACAGTTAATGCTGTTCGGGCCAGACTACAAGGGAATCTGTGATACATTTAAAGCGAACAGACTCCTCACCTCATGACTCATTTAACAAACAACTTTTAATCTTGTTTTCCTGCTATTGTTGTACAGTTTGCTGCTGTTTGCATTTCCATAAAGCACATCACGTCTTTGTGCTATTAAAGTGTTTGTAATGAGCACCTTTATTTCCAATCCACTACCAACCATCCATCCATTTATTTTCTTCACCCACTTTTTCATGCAGGATTGCCTGTCTCCAGTAGTCATTATGCCAGAGACAGGGTACACCCTGGACAGATTAAATGACAGGGCCGAAAGGGGACAKACAAGTCACACAACTTTTTAAAACACACCTTAGTTACCGATTAACACGCTTTTGGTTTGATGGAAGAAACTGAAGTACACAGACAAAACTGTGTGGGGGAACATGCAAACTACACACACACATACAAAAAAAACATAACTAGGTTTTGAACCTACAACRTCCTTGGTGTGAGGTTCTAACCACAACTATACAACTTCACCAAGTATGTTTTTTGCTATCAAATAGTGGGAATAAAATCTGTTAAAGTAGACGTGATGCTTTTAATTTAAATCCCTCTTTTTCACATTTATATCCTTCAGTTGGGGTCTATATAAAGTGCAATGCTTTGCTCTGAATTCCTCCTTATTGTAACTCCACAAGCCCCTCGTTCACCACTTTTCTGAGGTGTGTCTTAGATCAACTCGTCTTGAGGCTGTCTCTTTAAATCCAAATGAGGCGCTTTGCACCCCTCCAGCTTCCAGAGTGGTCTATTATAGTTTGATAGAGGGGTTTACGACTATATAGAAGCTTTTTTATTTACAAATGAATTAAAAGATGTCAYCAAGGGAAGACTTGTTCATCGAGCCTTACATGTTGGAGCCAGAGTCTGACCCAGAACCAGAGGAGAATGAAGACCACCAAAATAAAGTTGGTAAGTCCAGATCTTATTTGGAAGTTCCGTCGCAAATACTGTGACGTAATAGCTCAAAAAATGTCATAGAAATTAGAGAAACTGAACAGGTTAAAAAAATATGTCCCAAACAGAATATAACAATATCTACGCAGAACCAGGAGACACCAAAGTCAACTTTTATGCCTCCTAGAGACTCGGAGTACACAGCAACGGCTAAAAATGACTAAAAAAACACAATCTAAAATGAAATCAGCCATTTTAAAATCTGTAATATTTAACCAGATGAAGTTTAGACCTCAGCCTCGTGTTTAATCTGGTGAAGATTTCAGCTGTTTCCTTTTAGAAAAGCAGATGGAAGCCATTTATAATATGGTTGCCACAGTTGGTCATATGGGTATGTATGCCTGTGGTCTTTATATAGACCACAAGGATTATCACTTTTGACTGACAACTGGTCTTTGTTCTGTACCCTCCATTGATATTGACTGAAGCTCCTCTTTTCTAGTCCGTGCTCGAACATGTGACTGCAGATTGGTAGATTTACCTGTCTGCCGGTGCCTGTCTCTGCTGTCTCGGTGTTCGCTGTGTCTGAATGCATCTCTGTACTGGTGTGCCAAGGCCATGTCTTCCAAGCGGTAGTGCTGAGGTCCCATTTGGGGGTTGGGCGGGTGGGGCAGGCCGTTGGGAGGGTGTGTGGAGAGGCCGTTGGGAGGCGGGTGAGAGGGCAGGCCGGTGCTGGGGCTGAAGCGTTGGCTGGGGCTGATGGTGCAGGGCCTCTTGGCCAGGTGCTCCGGGTGCAGCCCGTCTCTCTCTGCGCTGTCTTTGGTCCTAAAAAGGAAGGCGTGAGAGAATGAAAACATGACAAACGGCTGCTTCTAAGTAAGGCAGGCTGGAGTTAATACAGAAAAAAAAATACGCTTCTGGATTTTAGACATATTTGCCTTTAACGGCCTCCCCAGACCACAAATGTGAAAACTGTGGGAATGTTTTGCCAGGCAATAATAATACACATTTTAAAGAAAAAAATCCCACTTCATGGCCATGATGCCTCGTTTGGATTTAAAGAAACAGCCTCAAAATAAGCAGCTTTGAGACACATCTCAGAAAAAGAGAAAAAGAGTAGCTAATGAGGTTAAAAGGAGGAATTCAGACCAAACCATTGCAGTTCCACTTTAAATAGACCCAAACCAAAAGATTTAAATGTGGAAAAACAAGGCTTTAAATGCATCAWATGTTAAACTAAGATAATTACTTTATTACACGTTCTAGATGATACATTAAAAAGGGTTTTTTCCCACAACACATTTTAAATGTTTGCTCTAATCCCAAACAAAACCAAACATCTCATTAAGTGTCACAGATTACAGCATCTACTGGGCGAATCTTACTGTTTGAGAGGCTAAAGAAAGGAACACAAACATGTTTTTTTAAGTTCGACAGCTCCCATATGGTGCACGCCAACACACACACACACACACACACACACACACACACACACACAC